CCTGGAGAATCTCAGGGACGGGGGACCCTGGTGGGCTGCTGTCTATGGGGTCGCACAGAGTCAGACACGACTGAAGCGACTTAGCAGCAGCAGCAGCCAGTCCTTTATCATCTAAATTTTTTCCCTAATAATTAATTAGTGGATCCTGTTTCATTTTAATATGGGATGAAAAAGTGTAATATGAGATTCACTAGGGCAGAAGAATAAGCAACCTTATTGTAGAAAATTTTTATCTTTACAAATTTCAACTACTGAAGCTAAAATCGGTTTGTGAGGGTTAGTCAACATAGTAGTATGAGTTCTTCAGTGATTAAATAGTATGAGTTTTTCAGTGATGAGGTATCCAGGATACGATTTCAAACACACTGTAAATTTTTTATACTGCCATATCATTTTGGGCTAATTTAGTATTCTCCTTCATTTGAGGTATAGAAGCTACTGACTGAGACAGTGCAATCAGAAATACTGGAAAAATGAAAGCAAACTTAAGCCTGCTAAGATATTCTATATTGTAAAACCTGATTTAAGAAAACCACATATTGAATGCTTTTGGAGGCTTTATAATAACTTGCTTAGGAGAAAGTAATACATTTTATTAAGTCCAAAGTAATGTGAATATGATTCTTATATTCAGTATCTTTATTAATTTTGAAAAATAAACATTTTACAAAAACAACCTTGCTCTACCCCTATGTATAATTCTATAAAACACACCCTAAGCAAGTTTATTAAAGTATTTTTCAGTCTTCAATAAGCTGTGAATGCAGATAACTTCCCTACCTAGTGTTGTTATATTCATTAACTAAGGGTTAGTTAATGATTTAGATCCTAAGACTTAGTAATCTAGGTTGTAATGTTAGAAACAGGTTGTCCTCCCATCTGAAATAATCATTTGAAGAGATGGAAATTATGTGACTTAGCCTATCAAGATTTATTCTGTGAATGTTTTTTCTTTTATTGTAAATTAGGAAGTCTGTTACATCTTCACATTCATGGAAAAGACTGTGATTAACTTAATTTAAAAAAGATTATGGTGAAGCATTTGAAATGTAAAACATAAAATTAGTAACATATTGGATTTAATTAAAAACCATGACAAATCCTGTTACACTTCATAATAAAAATGAAAAATAACAGTGGCTAGAAATGGAGAAGCGGATACAGGCATCTGTACCATCAATCTCCTCACCAATTAAAGTAGAACATCTGAAAGAAAATAGAACCTTTCTTTGGTGACTTAGGGTATCAATATAAACTTAAATTATTCTAAAAAGTTGAGGGTCAAGAAGAAAATGCAGATTATACTGAATGGGTAATTAGCTAATATCTGCAAAAGTGCCCAGTAATTCTTTTTGACAGAGTTCCAGATCCCAACTTGTTTCTGGTTATCTTAAAGTCTTTCATAAGCGTAGCTTGAATGTGTACCACCAACACACCCAAATTATACCTCTGGTTTCCGAATTAACAAAACACAAATTAACTAACAAAAGAGAACACATGCTTGCACATAATCAGTCTCCTCTAATCACTACTGTTTAGTTGCTAAGTCGTGTCCAACTCTTTTACGATCCCATGGAGTGCAGCCTGCCAGGCTCTCCTGTCCATGGGATATCCCAGGCAAGAATACTAGATTCAGGTGCTGTTTCCTTCACCAGGGGATCTTCCCAAACTGGGTACTGAACCCAGGTCTCCTTCATTGTTAGGCTGATTCTTTACTCCTGAGCCACCTGAGAAGCCCTTCTGACAGTGACTCTCAGAAAGCTTGTGGGTTTTATTTATTTGTCCTTAGCTTGCTCCTTCTTTCTCTTGTCAGAGTTACCTTTACTCTCTGCCCAAATCATCACCTCCAACCTCTGCTAAAAATGTATTATTTTGGTTATCTACTACTTCCTTCTAAATTTTTTTCTTACAGGGAAAGGAAAATGATTTAGATTCTGTAAGCTTAGAGTCCTGACTGCAAATGTGTGCTCTTGGACAAGTAATCTGGCTTATGTGAGACTGTTTCCATATTTGAGCTTCCTTGGTGGCTCACCTGGTAAAGAATCTGCCTGCAATGTGGGAGACCCGGGTTTGATCCCTGGGTTGGGAAGACTTTGTGGAGAAGGGAACAGCTACCCACTCCAGTATTTACAAAATACAGATAATACCATCCTGTAGAAATTATTGTGAAGTAATGTGCATGAAAAACACTTTATAAACTAAAGCCCTTTTCTTTCTGGCATTAACTAACAAGGAATATATTGCATTTACTGATTTACCTTATACATAAAATTAAAAAATTATAAAAATAGAATTATTATTAGCTTAACAGCACACTATGGAATAATCTCATTCTAACTTTGCTCTTCTTCTTTCAAAAAAGAAGAGAAAATTCAGGCAAGACAAAAGGACCACACACAGAAGATTACCGTGAACACAGGGCAACTGAGTAGCAGTACAAGGGAAAAGCACGGTTTTCAGTCAGCAGTGCCACAGCCGTGAAACGGCTGATCTCAGACCACGCTGCTGGGCTCACAGGCACTCGCTGCCCCCATAAGTGCCATTGATAGAGATCTTCTTCATGTGACACGCTTTTAGAGGCTAGCTTTAACCAGTGAAGACCTTTAGTAGAAAATAACAAGCGAGCTTGGGCCCAAATGGCAACTCTCCTCTGAAAACAGAAAAATACACGTTTACGAGCCACAGTTTCATGAAACACATATTGTGGATTTTTAGTCTCATCTGTGTAGTTTATCTCTACCTGATTTTCAAAATCTGCAGGAAAAAAGAAGACAGAATTCTCAGGGTAGCAGCCCTTGAAAATATAAATGGCAACCCTGTACTACTTCTTAGCAGTCCTGAAAACAGTTAAAAGTTATAAAATGCTTTTTCAACAAAATTTGAATAGTAGAAAAGAATTATAATGCACACTATATCTTATTTTCCTTCTTTTATGTTTCAAAGAATGTATTATGCTGAATTCTTCGAGACACACATCTCTCAAGAATAGGACTCTCTCATCTAGTGATTTAATGAATGCTGAGATGCACTAAAATCTATTCTTCAATTCTCATCTATTCCAAAGGAATAAAAAAAGAAACCCTGGGCTTTAAACAGCTGCTTTTATAAAAGCTCCAAGAGTCTATGACTGCCTTTTACTTTATGTTTCCTATAGAGCCATAGTGTTCACTACTGATTTAGCTGCTGATATCATCATTATTGGAGAAGGAAATGGCAACCCACTCCAACACTCCTGCCTGGAAAATCCCATGGATGGAGGAGCCTGGTGGGCTACGGTCCATGGGGTCGCAAAGACCCAGACATGACTGAGCAACTTCACTTCACCATCATTATTATTTATGGCTTCCCTGGTGGCTCAATGGTAAAGAATCCACCTGCCAATGCAGGAGACACATGAGATGTGGGTTTGAGCCTTGGGTCAGAAGATCCCCTGGAGAAGGAAAATGATAACCCACTCTAGTATTCTTGCCTGGGAATACCATGGAGAGAAGAGGCTGGTGGGCTACAGTCCATGGGGTCCCAAAGAGTTGGACACAATGCATGCAAATTCAATTCACTGTCATTATTACTGAATGGTAAAGGTAAGTTAAATATTTGATGGCTTGAAGGAGAAAATGTTGATAAAACTTTTATGACAAAATATAAATTGCTTGCATGTTTTTCTAAGAATAAGTAATCACGGACTTAAATGAATTTGAGATGTAACTTCTTATTGTTTTGAATAGGGTAAATGTTCAAATTAAAGCAATTTTTATATTTTTTTTGCTTTTACATTTCTCTGCACTATATGTTTAAAAGGAAGAAAAAAATCACATTCAACTCAAGAGACTTCTTTTGGTTCTACCAGATGTGCTTCACACATAGGTGATGAGTGGTATATACTACTATGCATTACGGAACATGATGCTTATATCTGTGGAAAATTTTGTAAATACAACTCAGAGTGACTATAATTCAAATCAAGATCCTCAGAAAAGTTTAAGTACAGATTCTTCATAATTTTCTATAAATATTTATGGATAATCACTAATAATGTATGGTTTTCTAAAAATCACATTTCTAGAAAACATTGTTTCATGTTGAAATTAACAATAGTCTGATTTTTTCCCCCAGGACAGTTGTATTACACCATGAGCCTGGTAGTAAATGTGAGTTGAATCATCACAAGTTCCAGAGTCAAAAAATGAATTAATGCTCAGAAGGAAAATTATGGATAGATATGATTTAAGAGGCAAGAAAGAATAAGGAGTAAGAAACACAACTAATTATAATATGAAAAATACAATAAAGCATTAAAATTTTAGAAGAATCATATTAGTGGAATCTGCCAAGAACAAAGTGTGAATTTAGCTACATTGGTTTAGATACTGGTACCTCTATTTAAGGTGAAAAAGCAGGAACAACATTCAAAATCACTGATAATGCAATGCGTGTACTAAACAATTTGTGTTCACAAATATTATCAACAGCCTTGTCTAAATTCTTGATACCATCATAAAACAAGTAACAGTAAGGCACCGCTCACTGAGAGTACAAGTCAGCATATCTGGTTAATTTCTTCATTTATTTTAACTCACCTAATTTCCAGCACAACTCCATGACAGAGGTGCAATTATTATTCTCAATGAGGGGTTTAGGTAAGCTGCCCAAGTCACACAGGTGCTAAATGGCTGGACTGAGATAAGCCTAGGCTGAACTCTTAACATCCATAGTCTTCAGACTCAAAGTATAACTGAGTCATTTGCTTATAAAAATTTTGACCTTTTAAAGACCAAGCTTGTTGAGTGAAAATATGCCTTTCACTGTTCTATAAAATAGAACGAGAACAGGTATTCTAAGCAGTGGGGAGAAGTTCAGGGACCATGTAAAAAACAGACACTGAACACTGAAATCGTGTTCCTTATTTAAGGGACGGTACCTTATTTAGGTGTTATTCAGGTATACTGTGTCATAGTGAAGATACTTTACACATATTTCTCTTTTTGACTTAATTTCCATACCTTCCAGATGTATTCTTCAGTATGGCGAGAGCATCTGGGTAGCCATCCATGTTGTAATCTCCAATATGAAGGGTAATTGGAATTGGTATTTCAGTTGGTTGCTGTTCATGCACATATGGCACAAAGCCCCAGAGGGTACCCTTACTGCTAAAATCCCGTAGGACAGGAGTCCACTGTGGGTTAAGAGGAAAAATTAGATTTTATAGTCATTTTAGGAAAAAAATTCACCATTTGTAAAACAAATGATTCACAAAAAATCCTCAAGATATGTATCATCTTTCTTAAGTTGTATCTCTGCAAAATGGCACAGTATTATAATTTACTTTGATAAATAGGTAATTGACAATCTAAAAAAATAAGTCTACCTTATAATTTATCAGTAGTCACCTTACCTTGAACTAGCATATAGAACCTTAAAAAGTTTTTCACAGAATAAGGAATTTTAGGATTGAGCTTATGTTATCAAACATGTTATTGAACTGACTAAAAATGTGTGTTGGAGACTTCCCTGGTGGTCCAGTGGTTAATAATCTACCCCACAATGCAGGGACACTGGTTTAATCACTGGTCTGGAACGATCCCACAAGCCACGGAGCAACTAAGCCTGTGAGCCACAACTACTGAGCCTGTATGCTCTAGAAACTGTGCTCTGCAACAAGAGAAGCCCATGCACCACAACTAGAGAGGAGGCCCAGTTTTCTGCAAATAGAGAAAGCCCGTGTGCAGCAATGGAGACCCAATGCAGCCAAGAAAAAAATAAAATTAAACAAATGAATAAACAAACAGAATATGTGTTAAGTGAAAATATGAAGATAAATGAATACTTTTAAAATTGTAATATCTAATACTGATATCCTTTTGAAGGACCAGTTTAGGAAGAAAATTAGAACATGACAGAGTCTCCCTTGTTCTTCTGCTCTGCCTCTTATACATGATGATGACTTTAGTCACCATGCTCAGAAACAAGCAGTTCTGAGGCTTTCCAAACAGTACTAGCCCTGACAAGCTCTCCCAGCCCAGGAGAATGAGCTTTGTTGCCAAAACAGCTGGAAGCTACATTTTACATAAATTCTTTATTTATCTACTGATTATAATGAAGAAAACACAGAGAATAGCTTCATTTGAAAATGAGCTTTGGTAAAGCCTGTTCTCTTCTGAATGCCCAAATCTTTACTTTTAATAACCTAATGTAAACTAAAAATCTGAAGACTGGAAATCAATATATTAAAATTAGAGATGTGTCCACAACTAGCAAGAGCATAGATACTGGCACATAACCTGAAGATGTCTAGACAGAAGCAGATGCAGCTGGCTTGAAATGATAGGAGGCCAAACATGCCCACAGATATTTTTTTCCTTGTAAGCAGGTGGCTCATATACATGGCTCCAAGCCAAACTACATAAAAAGTGAATTCTTGAAAAGTGTTTAGTACATAGAACATCCTAAACATTTTCTATGTATTCAAAGAAAGCATACTTTGCCAAGGAAAAAGGAAAAATATGTCTAAACCATAAAGACAAATTTATAGAAAACAAGCAGCTTAAAAAACTGATATGCATCTAATGAAATTTTCAATCTTTCCTAAAGCAAAAGAATTGTATATCATCAAAATGTTTTAACATTTCACATGACTGAAAAAAAACTGCTGCTTTTATTTTTGGAAGAGGATGAGAAATTTCACAAAATGTCGAGTTATCTCAAGTTTCTGAAGAGGATGACAGTTTATTAATGAGGATAAAGTACTTCTGTTAAGGTAAATGTATTAAGGTCTAAGAAGTAAAAAGATTTTTCATTGATGTGACATTCTTAACAGTCAACAAAGAACTGTGACATTTATCTTCCCATAGAGAGATGACTGTATAATTTGAAAATACAGTAGTCTGTCACTTGAAGACAGGCTGCAATTACTAGGTATACTTACAGCTATGAACCATTGATGAGGTGATTCTTGACCTAATATTTTCAGCAATTCAAAATTTTCAAAAAGTTCAAGATAATACAGATAATGGGTTTAAGAGTTACATGTTTTTAGAATGCTGACTATAGGAAGATTTGAAGATATGCTTTCTCTAGTGTCTTAGTATGAAAGGTGATACTTTCTACCCATAAGGGCTATAAAAATCAAGATGTCATTCTATCATCTTTTTTACCCCAAAATAGAAAATATAATTAATTCTACTACTGTATTACTGGTTTCCTTTCAGGTGTTATCAATATTGAAAAATTCTCAATGTCATAAGCTATCAGTCCCACATTTAAAAAATTTCTTTAGCATTCCCACATTAATGCTGGGACTATCAGATTCTGAATTGTTTGCCAACAAGCTACAGGAATAAAGTTGACATAAAAGAACAAAATAGATCTAGACATCACAAATAAAAACAAGATTAGCCTTGAAACTAGATACAGTGTTCTTCTACATAATTCTTTATTATAGTTATAGTGTATCTTACCATATTCCCAGCATATGAAAGGCTAACAGATCATATAATTGCAGGATCAATAATGGGTTTCTTGGGACTTTGCTAGTGGTCCAGTGATTAAGAATCCGCCTTGCAATGCAGGGGACCTGGGTTCAATCCCTGGTTGAGGAAGTGAAATCTCACATGCCACAGAGCAAGTAACCCCACACTTCACAACTAGAGAGTTTGTGCACTGCAACAAAAGATCCCGCATGCCGCAACTAAGACCACACAGTCAAATAAATAAATAAATATTTAAAAAAGGAATGGGTTTTCTTTATGAGAAATCATTGCAATACATTCCAATCACAGTACTTTTTCTCTCAGTAAACCAACAAAAAATAGATTTAAGTGCATTTTATTAAGTTAACATGGAGGAGGAGTGTTGGTTGTCATACACAAAGTAAGGTGCCACGTTTGAGCCTGAGAATTACACTCAAAGACAGACTAATGGGAGAAAAGCTGATATGAACACAATCTCCTAAGGAGATTGAAGACCTTACTTGGGTTTAAAATTGGGAAAGAGGTATGTCAAGGCTATATATTGTCACCCTCCTTATTTAACTTATATGCAGAGTACATCATGTGAAATGTTGGGCTAGATGACTGACAAGCTGGATTGTTGGGAGAACTATCAACAACCTTACATATGCAGATGATACCACTCTAATGGCAGAAAGCAAAGAGGAACTAAAGAGCCTCTTGATACAGGTGGAAGAGGAGAGTGAAAAAGCTGGTTTAAAATTTAACATTCAAAAAACAAAGATCAAGGCATTTGGTCCCATCACTTCATGGTAACAGAAGGGGAAAAAGTGGAAACAGTGACAGATTTTATTTTCTTGGGCTCCAAAATCACTGTGGATGGTGACTTTAGCCATGAAATCAGATGACAGGTGTTCCTTGGAAGAAAAGCTATGACAAACCTATACAGAGTATTAAAAAGCAGAGACATCACTTTGCCAACAAGGGCAGTATAGTCAAAGCTATGGTTTTTCCAGTAGTTATGTACAATGAGAGTTGGACCACAAAGATGGCTGAGTGCCAAAGAAACGTTGCTTTCAAACTGTGGTGCTGGAGAAGACTCTTGACAGTCCCTTGGACTGCAAGGAGATCCAACCAGTCAATCCTAAAGGAAATCAGTCCTGAATATTCTTTGGAAGGAATGACGCTGAAGCTGCAATACTTCGGCTACTGGATGCTAAGAGCCAACTCATTGGAAAAGACTTACTGGGACAGATTGAGGGTAGAATGAGAAGGGGGCGACAGAGAATGATGTGGTTGGATGGCATCACTGACTCAATGGACATGAGTGTGAACAAACTTAGGAGACAGTGAACGACAGGAAAGCCAATCATGTTGTAGTCCATGGAATTGCAAAGAGTCAGTCACGACTTAGTGACTGAACAACAAGTTAAAATGAGGAAGTAAACTTATTGTTGTTTTTTCTCTTTTCTGATTCTTCAGATACTTCTCTAACCTCTGAAATTGTTTGCCGAGATTGGAACCTTACTTACATTAAAAAACAAGTACATGTACCTGCTTTGCTCCAGATCTTGCTAAGTAAATGACACTTTTCTGGCAGTTTTTGTCTTCACAGCCTGGCAGTAAGTGATCCATGTTTCCATCTCCATCTGCCAAAAGAAACTTAAAAAGTTCATTAACAGCCACAAAATGGTGCTCCTGTATAGCAGATTACATTTCCCATCTTTTCAAAGTCTGCATCACTCTAGATAAACTGAGGAATCTGATGCATGGTTTTGTAGTTTACGTGATTCAATTAAAGAATTACTCTGGCCCCTGCTATCAGTTACCTGGACTGTGACTGGTTTTAAACTGCTCACTTTTCTTTGGCTAAATATTTATCCAATGTTGGAAAAACACCTTGTCTCAGGGCTTTAATGTTAAAATCATCACTTAAAAAATGTATCTTGTGACTTAGACAATTATCATTGCTGCATGGGAGGAAACTAGGCATGTCAATAGTAACCCATTATTATTTGACTGATTTTGGATGTCTTTACATATACTTTTAAGCCTCTTTTATACAGCATAAATTTCAAGAGTTATAAAGCTTTCTGCAATCCAGATTCTAAAAAGAACCAGTATATTTTTATCAATAAAAAGGCAAATGAAGGGAATACACATGTCATTTCCAACTGACTGATTTTTAAACAGCTGCACAATGGTCTGCAAAGACCTCCAGAGATGATGTTACTGAGGAACTTGGAATCATTTCCTCTAGTGCTCCCTCCTATATACTGTCCCTACCTGATGGAAGTTTACAAATTTTGATGTTGTAGAGTTAAATTTCTACAGGGACATTCACACAATGGAGTAATCATGTAGCTTTTAAATTTAGAACCTCATTTTGTATTTCTTCAGAATAAATATGGATTTATTTGCAATGGTTTAATGTATCATTTAATGTGTGCCAAGGTAGCAGTACCTTCACTTGGAAGACTATATAAGGGTTAAAAATAAAAGAAGTCTTTGTGTAGGTTTAAATATCAATATTAAGAGAGATATGTAACTAAAACAAGTCTATCAAGTATCCAATCATGTATTCAAAAGGAAAAAAAGAAAATTTAGGTTGTATGAGATGAAAATCTAGCCAATGGAAGCTGACCTCAGCAAGGAAAAGGCGTATTATAGTGAAAAAAGAGTTTCTTTGATTCAATTTCATGGTTTAATTACTTATGATTCTCATAGGTAATACTCTGTGTGATAACAAACCCTTACTTATAAGAGTATAACATTAAACAAAACAGTTGAATTAATAATGGCAGCACAGAAATTATCTGTGATACGGCAGTAGTACATCTGAACTACTGTGAAAGCAGTTGAGAGAGAGATGCAACTCTATGCAGGAATACTTGGAAAGGAGAAGGCTATCCAAGGACACAAACATATATCATAGTTAGAAAAAAAAAGTAGGAGCTCGCCAAGTAAGAATTAAATACAAAGTGTGATTTATAAACTGGGTCTAATAATAACACAGGCTTCATTAAAAGCCAAATCATTTCATTGCGATTATTCTGGGACTAATCAGAAGAAGACAGTTAACAAGTCTCTGTCTTTCATTTTTACCCCAAAGTCAAAATACTCAGATTAGATTTTATTTACACTTTTCTTTTCTCCTAGTTTCTCTTTCTTCCAAGTAGTTTCCTATTTCCCCCAAGTATTTTGGCCATGACTTGGCTGAGATTTAATACTGGCAAATAACTTATCTCTGTTAAACATATAACTAACTCACATCATAACATCATAAACATGCCTTTTTGTAAGAAATATCAGTAATATTTTATAGATATGGCTATAAAAATCTAGAACTCTATCAAAGAAGGTGCTCCTTATGCTGATTCTTTTTTTTAATTTTAATTAAAAAATTTTTTTCCTTTATTTTTATTAGTTGGAGGCTAATTACTTTACAATATTGCAGTGGTTTTTGCCATACTTTGACATGAATCAGCCATGGATTTACATGTGTTCCCCATCCTGATCCCCCCTCCCGCCTCCCTCCCCATCCCATCCCTCTGGGTCTTCCCAGTGCACCAGCCCTGAGCAGTTGTCTCATGCATCCAACCTGGGCTGGCGATATGTTTCACACTTGATAATATACATGTTTCAATGATATTCTCTCAGATCATCCCACCCTCGCCTTCTCCCACAGAGTCCAAAAGTCTGTTCTATACATCTGTGTCTCTTTTTCTGTCCTGCATATAGGGTTACCGTTACCATCTTTTTAAATTCCATATATATGTGTTAGTATACTGTATTGGTGTTTATCTTTCTGGCTTACTTCACTTTGTGTAATGGGCTCCAGTTTCATCCATCTCATTAGAACTGATTCAAATTTATTCTTTTTAATGGCTGAGTAATATTCCATTGTGTATATGTACCACAGCTTTCTTATCCATTCGTCTGCTGATGGGCATCTAGGTTGCTTCCATGTCCTGGCTATTATAAACAGTGCTGTGATGAACATTGGGGTACACGGCTCTTTCAGATATGGTTTCCTCAGAGTGTATGCCCAGGAGTGGGATTGCTGGGTCATATGGTAGTTCTATTTCCAGTTTTTTAAGGAATTTCCACACTGTTCTCTATAGTGGCTGTACTAGTTTGTATTATGCTGACTCTTTAAGTGCTATTTTTTGATACTTATCACTTCCTCAGTGATAGAAAAGGTTTCTGAGATTCCAACTTCATGTCCTAAGGAAATTTTCTCTCTCTTAAAGGCAACAAACTTTTAAATTCCACGTTTCACTTTTCTACACTAAAAAAAAAACAACTGTATTTGTAAATTATTTAAACTTGAATAATAAAAGTAGTACAAGAAGTCCTAAACAAATTCTAACCACATTGACCTGTTAACATTTTATGCCATTTATTTGATCATTTGTGTGCTCTGTGAAATCATTTTTTTTCTGAACCATAATTATATACATTACAGCCTCTCACCCCTAAATACTTTAGTGTGCATTTCCTATAAATAGGGATATTCTCTTAAACAACCACAGTACAACTATTAATTCATACAATCTTATCTATTGTACTATATCTATATTCCAGTTTTGCTTTTTGACCTAATAATGTCATTTGTAGCATTTTTGACCCTTTAACATAGGATCCAGAGTCTAGGAGTAGAACTGCATTTAGTTGTTATTTTTGCTGTGTTTTTCAGTTGCTAAGTCATTTCCAACTCTTTGCTACCCCATGGACTACAGCATGCCAGGCTCCTCTGTCCTCCACTATCTCCCAGAGTTTGCTCATATTGATCTCCATGGACTCAGTGGTGCTAACCATCTCATCCTCTGCTGCCCTCTTATCCTTTCACCTTCAATTTTTTTCCCAGCATCAGGGTCTTTTCCATGGAGTTGGCTCTACGCACCAGGTGGCCAAAGGACTGGAGCTTCAGCTTCATCATCAGTTACAATGAATATTCAGTCCTTCCAGTGTATTGGCTGGATATCCTTGCAGTTATTTTTAGTCTCTTTTAATCTAGAATATTTTCATAGCCTGTGCCTTTTACAATCTATATATCTTTTTTGTTTTTAAACCTCAGACGACAGGAATTTCTTACTTTTTTAATAAGTTATTATGCCTGAGGAAGAAAGTAGTTTCAGGAAAATGTTTCATATGAGTCAGAGGCACAAGGCTAGTAACTAGTAATATGCAAATTCTATGAAAAATAATGTGACTATGAGGAAAGTCATGCTGAAGAGGTACCACTCTGTGAACTTAGCATACGTTTCTTAAAGAAGTCCCAGGAATTATTCAGTTCAGATTGTCTTCTCAGGACTTTGGCATGTTACATATCTCAAGTTTCTTTGAGAGATAAATTACCTCTCAAAGGTTCAAGTGAAATTGTAACAGAAGGAATCACATTTTGATTCATTCATTCTATAAAACGTGACATAAAATTTGGCCTGTTGAATGTCAGGACTGCTAGAGACTGAAGTTCACACTAACTACATGCTAATTTCCATCTGATGTTAACCTTAACCAAATTTCAAATGAAATTATTCTCTAAAACAGATAATTTTAAAGAGATATATATGATTCAAACTGACTTTCCCCAAAATTTTAATTTTAAAATCAAGAAAACACTAAAATAGTTTTCATCAAAATGGACTATAATGAATTTTGGTGTAATAATTTTTCTGGTTTTAATTAAGCAGAGGACAAAGAAGATATGTATGAGCAAGGGTCACACTTATGTTTCCTCTTAAAAATTCATAACATTTTCAGTATCTTGAAATTAATTGACCTGTGGTATCATTTAATCAAATTACAACTCATTGTTCTGGCCCCAGATTATCCATTAACACTGTAAACCACAGGTTTTTTAATGCAGTATTCCCAAAGTATGGCTTCCAGTCGAACAGTCTCAACATCACCTAGGAACTTACTAGAAATGTCTATTTTTACACCCCTGTCCAGAACTAACGAATAAGAACCTCGGCTGCTGCTGCTGCTAATTCGCTTCAGTCGTGTCCTACTCTGTGTGACCCCATGGACGGCAGCCCACCAGGCTCCGCTGTCCCTGGGATTCTCCAGGCAAGAACACTGGAGTGGGTTGCCATTTCCTTCTCCAATGCATGAAAGTGAAAAGTGAAAGTGAAGTCGCTCAGTCGTGTCCAACTCTTCGCGACCCCAGGAACTGCAGCCTACCAGGCTCCTCTGTCCGTGGGATTTTCCAGGCAAGAGTACTGGAGTGGGGTGCCATTGCATTCTCTGTAAGAACCTCTGAGGGTGGGGCAAAGCATATGACCTCTGGTTGAACCACTGTTCTCAGGTACTTCTGCTAGTCTTCCGCTAATACCAGGGGTTGTTACACATAGTCTATGTCTGTTTTGATCATGTTCTCCATTAACAACAAACTACTTTTGCTGATCATATTCCACTATTCATTTAGGACTCAGTCTGTGTCTTGCTTCAAGCTCTTGAGACTGAATCAAAGTTGTCTTTTGCCCATTTGTGTACCTCCTGAAGTGAAGTGACCTGTACACTATTGCCAAATTCAGACTTAAATTGAAGAAAGTAGGGAAAACCACTAGACCATTCAGGTATGTCCTAAATCAAATCCCTTATGATTATACAGGGGAAGTGACAAATAGATTCAAGGGAAAAG